TCTGTGGGGAGCAGGGGGGTCACGGCTGGCCCCATGGTCTGCAGGGGGACCCGGACCCAAATCCTGCCCCATGGCGTGCATGGGACCTAGGACCTTCCCCAGAGCCTGCCCGGGACCCCAGGACCCCCTGCATGGGACCCTGGGACCCACGACATGTCCCATAGCATGTCCGGTGTCCTGTGTCCCATATCCCCAGGACCCTGGGACCCACACCCTGTTCCATGCTGTGCGTGGGACCCACAGCCTGCATGGGACTGTGTGCCCCACAGTGTGCCCCATGCCGGGCATGGGATTCTGGGATTCACAACCTGTCTATCCCATGCCCAGTGCCCTGTGCCCTATAGCCTGTCCCACGGTGCGCATGGAACCCCAAATCCTGCCCCATAGCCTGCCTGGGCCTCCCTGCCCCACAGCAGGCCCCAGGGGGGTGTCTCACCCGGGCAGTGCTGCCCCGTGGGTGGGCAGGGTAGAGGCTGGCGAGGCCGAAGGAGGCGTCCAGCTCCTCGTCCTCCTCCAGCTCCAGCGTCTCCACCTCGTCCAGCTCCTTGTCGCTGAGCGTGGCGGGCTCAGCGGGCGGCGCCGACCCACTCTCCTGCTGGCAGGGAGCACAGGGGGGTGGTCGGGGGCTGTGGGCGGCCCTGGGGGGCGGCCCGGGGGGGCCGCACTCACCTTGATGACCAGGTAGCGCGGGGGGTCGCGCGCCATGCGGGTGAACTCGTTCGCCAGCTCCTTGAAGGTGGGACGCACGTTCTCGTCGATCATCCAGCCTGCGGGCACCGCGGGGGTGGCACCGGGAACCGGTACTGGGAACTGGCCGAGCTGGGACTCCCGGGATAGAGCTGGGACCGCGTGGCTGAGCTGGGACCCCCGGGGATGGAACCAGGACCTTGGGGCTGAGCTGGGACTCTAGCGATTGAGCTGGGGCCTCCAGGAACAGAGCCGGGACCCTAGGGTTGAGCTGGGGCCTCCAGAGATGAAACTGGGACCCCCAGGAACAGAGCTGGGACCTCAGGGCTGAGCTGGGACCCCTGAAACCAAGCTGGGACCCCCAGGGACAGAGCTGGGATGCACCCCATGGACTAAGCAAGGACTTCCAGAGACAAAGTTGTGTCCTGGGGATCAATCCTGGATCCATCACCGAGGTGGGACCTTGAGGACCAAGCTAGGACCTTGGAAATCAAGCTGTGGTCCCAGGAACCAACCCAGGACCCCAGGGACAGAAGCAGGAGCCCAGGGACCAAGACGTGCTGTGCCCCAGCATGGGGCCATGCTGCTAGGAGAGGATCCAAGCGCCTTGGATAGATCCGAGTCCCCCAGATGGATCCGAGGCCCCTGGATGGATCCGAGCACCGCACTCACACTTCACCATGACCATGTAGACGTCGATGGTGCAGATCTGGGGCTGCGAGAGCCGCTCGCCCTTCTCCAGCAGGTCGGGCACCTCGGCCAGGCGGATGCCAGCATAGGGCTCCGCGCCGAACGTCATCATCTCCCAGAGCGTGACCCCTGCGGGCAACACCGTGAGCCCCGTGGCCACCACCATGGGGACGGGACGGGGACTGGGATGGGACGGGGCTGGCGGCAGTGCCGCTCACCGTAGCTCCAGACGTCGCTCTGGTGCGTGTACTTGCCGAAGTGGATGCTCTCCAGTGCCATCCACTTGATGGGCGTCTGCAAGGCAGGATGTGTCAGGGATGCTCGGGGACATGGAGCGGGCAGAGGACACCCCACAGAGCAGGGGATATTGGGGATACAGAAGGGACAGGATATCCCGTGGTGCAGGAGACACTGGGGACATGGAGGGGACAGGACATTCATGGTGCAGAGGGTCCTGGGGACATGGGAGCGGACAGGATACCCCACAGTGCACAGGATCTCAGGGACATGGAGAGGGCAAGGAATATCCCACAGTTCAGGGGACATTGGGGACAGAGAGGAGAGAGGATACCCCATGGGGTAGGAGGAATCAAGGACACAGTACAAAAAGGGGAGACCCCACAGTGCAGGGGATAGCGGGGACACAGAGGGGACATGGAGCAGGAGGGATGCCCATAGAGCAGTGGATCTCAGGGGCACAGGGGAGACTTGCCACCCTGCAGCACCGGGGACATGATGCCCCTCAGCACAGTGGCTCGGAGGGCTGTGGTGGGCACCCACCTTGACCTCGTTGTAGAAATACTTCTTGTCATCGGGGTAGAGCAGGTCGGCGACGCCGAAGTCGGCCACCTGTGCCTGGCTGGGCGACTTGAGCAGCACGTTGCGGGCGGCCAGGTTGCGGTGCACCATGCGGTGCTCCTCCAGGTAGTACATGCCCTGCGGGCAGGCGTCAGCGGCGCCGCATGGGGGTCCCCGCGTCCCCGTCCCAGTCCCCGCGCTCACCTTGGCCACCTGCACGCACCAGTTGAGCAGCAGCTGGGGGCTGAGGCTGTGGCGGTTCTTGCGGCCTGTGGCGGTTCTTGCGCACGTATTCGAGCAGGTAGCCCAGCGGCAGCAGCTGCGTCACCAGCTGCAGCTGCGCGCCGGGGCAGATGCCCAGCAGGCGCACGATGTACGCGTGGTCCAGGCTGCCGATGGCCAGCAGGAGCTGGGGACGCGGGGACACCGTGAGCGCCCGCTGCAGCGCCAGGGTGGCACCTCCCGCCCGCGCACCCCGGTGCTCACGTCGGTGACGGCGTGGAAGGACTGCTGCCCGCTCCAGTCCTGGATCACCTTGATGCTCACTGGGATCTTGATGGAGTCGCCCTCGGGGATCCAGACACCCTGGCAGGATGGAGAGGGTCCGGGTGGGCGCTGGAGTGGGGGGTACCCAGCACCCACCCAGGCGGCCCCCTCCTCACTTTGTGCACGGTGCCGAAGACGCCGGAGCCCAGAACCTTCAGGCGCTTCAGCTCCGTCTCCTTGAAGATGCGGGCGAGCACCTTGTTGGCCTTCTCACTGGGGTCCAGCGGCTCCAGGCTCTGCCCGCAGAAGATGGATGGAGAAGGACTGTGATGGGGATGGAGCCAGGGATGGATTGGGAGGGAAAAGGGGCATGGAGAAGGGAAGCGGGGGAGAGAGGGATAGAGATCGACAAGGATGGAAATGTATGGGGATGGATGAGGACAGAGCTAGGGATGGGGATGGAGACAGAGGGAGAGAGGAAGAGGATGTGGATGGAGACTGATGGGGGCGAGGATGGAGATGGGGATAACCAAGCGGATGGTGAGGATCAGGATGGAAAGGAGCATAGAGAAGGACAAGGGCAGAGAGGGGAATAGAGAAGGACAGGGATGGAGACTGAAGGAGACAGGGATGCAGATGAGAACGGGGATGGTCAAGGCTGGAGTTCGATGGGGACAGAGACGGGAGCGAGGAGGAGGGAGGCGGATGCGGAAGGAGGCAGATACGGGAGCAGGAGGGGCTGGGGCCGCCCACCTCGCCCCGCTCCAGGTAGCGCCGCATCGCCCGCTTCTTCTGGATCTTCTTGCCGCGCCAGTAGAGCACGATGAGGAGGAAGCAGGAGCAGGAGAGGAAGAGGCCGCCGACCACCATGACGGCGATGACCGTGGGGGCTTTCCTGGGGGTCACGGGCTGAGCTGGGGGCAGGTGCCCCCCGCACTTCCCCGACCCTTCTTGTCACAGCGCTTGGCGCAGCGTAGTGTGGCGCGGTGCCGCAGGGCATGGTGCTGAGCACTGTATTGCATGGCACAGCGCAGCATGGTGCACCACGGCACGGTGCAGCATTGCATGGCATGGTGCATCATTGTATGCAGGAGAGGAAGGCAGCACAGCTTGGCATGGCACAGCATGGCATGGCATGGTGCAGCAGGGCACGGCATGGCGTGGTGCGGCACTGTGCAGCATTGCATGGGATGGTGCAGCATGGCACAGCATAGCACAGTGCATCATTGGATAGCACAGCGCGGCACAGCATGGCATGGGACGGTGCAGCACAGCACAGCATGGCAGGCGCACCATTGCATGGAATGGCATGGTACAGTTTGCATGGCATGGCACAGCATGGTACAGGTGGGCATAGTGCAACGTTACGCAGCACAGTGCAACGTAGCACAGCATAGCATGGCATTGCACTGCACAGTGCAGCATTGCATGGGACGGTGCAGTGCACCATGGCACAGTGCAGCACAGCACAGCGTTGCACAGCATGGCATGATGCAGCATTGCATGGCACAGCATGGCGCAACATTGCACAGCATGGCACGGCATGGTGCAGCATTGCACAGCATGGCACAGCACAGCTTGGCACAGCATTTCACAGCATGGCACGGTGCAGCTTGGCATAGCACGGCACAGCATTGCACAGCTTGGCACAGGCAGCACCAGAGCGTCCCTGGCGCCCACCCCGCACCCATCCCGGGCACGGCCGGGCAGTCCCCCCGGTACCTGGACACGGGCAGCGGC